TTCTAATTTATAATTGTGGGGCTCCACCATCTATTTGGTTGGAAGAATTGTTTTATTTATGTTGACACGTGTACAGTGACCCTACATGTGTCATTTGTATGATATGTTTTAATATGTGATGTTATGATGTGTGTCGTTACATAATAAGCCAAATAATATTATGGTATAAATGAAATGTCATGCTCTCATATATGATGAAAGAAAGAAGGATTGTCTTGCTTGACTTATTAAGCCAGGATGAAAATATGAAGACCTCGTACATAATATATGTTTGTTTGGATTGGGATACTTTCGGGTATGAACACTTAATTAAAATAAATATATATATATGAAAGGAAACAAATAATCCCCCGCCAATTCAGAAAAGAAGGGTATAAATATGGCAGAATACGGCGATGGCCGAAATCCAAATCTGTAAGACGGCAACATCATCTTTGACATCGTTCATCATCGTCGCTTCCACGAAAAGAATATATTTCACAATTCAAATTCACACCTACCCATAAGAACACAACCCAAATCCTCAAACACCCATTACCCATTTCTCAATTTCTGAATTTGATTCGTTTCTGAACAAGATCCCAATTCTTTAACCGATGCGACCCAAGATCGAATCCGAGCAGAATCACAGTCGCCGGAAGCAAATCTCCGTCCTACCAAAGCGGATAATATTGGTCCGCCACGGTGAGTCTCAGGGCAATCTCAACTCCGCAACCTACACCACTACCCCCGATAACAAAGTCCCATTAACGGAAGAGGGTTTGATTCAGGCTCGAATCGCTGGTACCGAGCTCCACAGATTGTTGTCCGATGACGGCACTAACCCTAATTGGCGAGTCTACTTCTACGTTTCTCCCTACGAGCGCACCCGATCCACACTCCGGGAGATTGGCCGAGCGTTCTCGAAGAAGCGGATTATTGGCGTCAGAGAGGAGTGTAGAATCAGAGAGCAGGATTTTGGGAATTTTCAAGTGGAGGAAAGAATGAAGATCGTGAAGGAGACGAGGGAGAGATTTGGGAGATTCTTCTACCGGTTCCCTGAAGGGGAGTCTGCCGCGGATGTTTACGATCGCGTTTCCAGTGAGTTCTTTCTTCTTTTTAATATCTGTTCTTCTTTGTCTTTCATTCAATCTTATGGAATATGAGTTCAAGATTAGGCTCTGGATGTTGGGAACATAGTCATTTAGGATGCCTTCTGATTCTACTTGTTTGATTTGGGTTCAATTCTTGTGAGTTTCAGTTGAAGATTAAGCTCTGTTTGTTGGTCTCTGATATCTCTGGTTTAGGGAGCTTTCCATTTAGGATGTCTTTTGGGTTATAATATGTCTCTGCTTCACAAATGGTCTAATGGGTTAAGCTTGTGTAGAAGTTGACCCCATTGGCTACTGTTTTGTTAATCTCATAATCTAGGTAAAGATGAACTGAGATTATATAAATCCAGGCTCTTATAGAACTCACTTTTTATACTATGCTAATCTTAACTGCTATAAGAACCATGTTTTGTACATTAATTGTATAAACTTGGCTTTCCAGCTACGAACTCTTCATAAACACAGACTTATTGGTATAGCGAGGCAAACATTTCTTAGAAATCTCAAATATAGGGACGTTTTCTATGAGATCCCATGTCGGTTGGGGAGGAGAACGAAACAGTGTGCAAACCTCTCCTTAGCAAATGCGTTTTAAAACTTTGAGGGGAAGCCGGGAAAAAAGCCCAAAGAAGACAATGTCTGTTAGTGGTGGAATTGGTCGTTACAAATGGTATTAGAACCAGACACTGGGCGATGTGTCTGCGAGGAGGTTGAGCCCCGAATGGGGGTGGACACGAAGTGGTGTGCCAACAAGGACGTTGGGCACCAAAGGGGGGTGGATTGTGAGATCCCACATCAGTTAGGGAGGAGAACGAAACATTTTTTATAAGGGTGTGGAAACCTTTTTCTAGCATACGTGTTTTAAAAACTTGAGGGGAAGCTCGGAAGGGAAAGCTCAAAAAGGACAATATCTGCTAGCGGTGGGCTTGGGTCGTTACAAATGATATCAGAGCCAGACACCGGGCGATGTGCGAGTGAGAAGGTTGAGTCCCGAATGGGGATGGAAACGAAGCGGTGTACCTGAAGGGGGGTGAATTAGGGGTCCCACATCGTTTGGACAAGGAAACGAGTGCCAACAAGGTTGTTGGGCCCGGAAGGGAGGTGGATTGTGAGATCCCACATTGGTTTGGGGAAGAGAACGGTACATTCTTTATAAAGGTGTGGAAACCTCTCCCTAGTAAATGCGTTCTAAAACCTTGAGGAAAACCCAAAAGGGAAAGCTCAAAGAGGGTAATATCTACTAGCGGTGGGCTTGGGACGTTACATTTTCTCTTTAGAGATTTCGATGATATTGATGAAGTTTGTAGTTTGAAGTATGATGATTTTGGATCATGTGTAGATTTGTAATTTCATGACTATATATCTGCTTCATATTGTTTATCCTACAAAGGGTTTTGTTGCCATTTGAAGATAAAAGATGATGAACGCTAGCTTTTTGTCTGCATTGTTCATATCTTATCTCTAAATGGAGGCTGAGAACTATTATGAATATCACTTACTTGATGAACTTCACTTTAGAGTATAGATTGTTTAGGCTTAAGATGTGTCCAATTGTTTATGCACATGAGATGACATGAATGGTGTGGCATACTGAAATAACCATTTTGAGGAACATATTTGTATTCTCTCAGGCTTTCTTGAATCTCTGTGGAGGGACATAGACTTGAACAGGCTCCGCCACAACCCGTCCCACGACCTCAACCTTATAATCATATCTCACGGGCTAACATCGCGCGTCTTCCTCACAAAATGGTTCAAATGGACAGTCAAACAATTCGAGTACCTGAACAACCTCGAAAACTGCGAATGTCGGGTAATGCAGTTGGGAGGAGGCGGAGAATACAGCTTAGCCGTTAAGCACACAGAGGAAGAAATGCTGGAATGGGGACTCTCCCCTGAGATGATATCCGACCAGAAATGGAGAGCAAGTGCACACAAAGGGGAATGGAATGAAAGATGTCCCTGGTATCTCGATGCTTTCTTTGATAATCTACCCGACTCGGACTCCGACGGCGATGACAGCTCTGATGAACTGTGTCACAATCACGAGAAGGAACTAGTTGAGCTTTGTTCGAGTGTAGAGCTGACTAAGGAATGACTCTTACGATTACAATTCTTTGAATTTGATTGCTTGATTGGTGGATGAAAATCTACATTCTATCCAAATTGTTAAGAGGAGGTTGGATGGGTCGGTATCGGGACGTCCCGTGATCGACGTAGGCAAGGAGAGGGAGGCTAATGATTTCAAAACCCCTGATGAAAGGGGATGGATATATTTGTTAGTTATTTCCCTCATGTCAGTTAGAGTCAAAGGATGAGCTGAAGATCAAAGAAATACAGACAAATTTAAATAATAAAACCCTATTGAAAAAATTGTTTTTTCTTTTTCACTTGAGATGCCCTGAATCTGACGAGTGGCTTGCTTGATAGGAGTAACATGAAGCTCACATCCCAAATAAAAGGAGAATTAGTCTACGTTCGATCCAGTAATAAATAGGAATTTGAAGTTTCTATTTTTCTTTTCCAAATCAATCCTACAAAAAAAACAAAAAAAAAAAAACAAAAAAAATCCCCTGAATATTTATGAAAACCCAAAATGGCCTAATGGTTGATTGTATTGAATGCATCGCATCTTCTCCTCACTTCTCCCTTTCCGTCGGTTTTCACCTCGCGAACGCTCATCTTCTCCATGGCGTGTCCAAAATCCTTGAAGAATAATGCCTGGTTCCCTGCGTACATCTCCACGAATTTCCTTGTCCTCGGATCCTTCGCCAGCGCGTGATCCGACGCCGACACTCCCATTCCTCTCAGCAGATTCTGGTAGTATACGTTGTCGAACTTCCCTGGCGTTACGGGGTCGCTGTACGCCGAACTTGCTGGATTCTTCTCGTAGTCGGCGCAGGACTTCATCAACGCCTCCGCGTATTTCGAATTAATCTCAGGATCTGTTGGCGTGTTTTTGCTGAAATTGAAGAGCCGATCGCTGAATTCCCTGCAATTCGAGAATCCGATTGTGCGTCCGCCGTATAGCGCTACCATTTCTTGAATCGTGAATCCTTTCGCTTCGAATAGCTTAATCAATTCGTCAATTGATTGATTCGGTTTCGGAATGTTACCTTCCACATCTGAAATCTTCGAGACGAGGCTATCTTTTCTCCCTAATTCAACTTTGTACGACGGTCCACCTGAGGCCGCGATGAGATCTCTAGTCGCCTGCGCTAACACATCAGAGCAAGAGACTATCCCAGGGCAAGAGAGCTCTAAGGTGATCTTCGCACGAGTGACAACGTCGAAGGCATCACCAGGAAGAGCGTGGTTGATTTCAGCATCGCGCTCGGCGTGGTTGAAGACATTGGATGAAATAAGAACAGAGGCATCGCAGCCTCCAACCAAACAATCGCTGAAGAAGAGGCGCATAGATGCAGCGGCGGTGACGGGGCTAGTAGCGTGCTTGCGGGCGACAGTGTCGTGAACGATTTTTGCGAAGTCGGGGCAAGTTTTGTGGTAATAATCGAGAGAAAGCTGAGAGTGAACTGAGAATGGAAGAGATAGGCAAAGTAGAAGAAGAAGAGCGGTAGGGTGGAAGAAGGCCATGGCGGGGAAGAGGAAGGAGGTGGGGGACAACCTGCTTTCTCTGGATGTGGAAAAGTGGAAGGTGTGTGTGTAGTGTGGTGAGGAGGAGGAAGAAGGAAGCAATTGCGGTGCGTGGAAAATGGAGGGATGAATGGGGGATTAAAAAGGAGATGGAGCATTGGTTGGGAGACATTTTGGGAGATTAGTTAGAGATGGAGAATTGATAAAGGTTTGATGTTATTTTTGGTACAATCCAGTAGGGTGTACACGTGTTGGATTGGATTGTGGAATTTTTTTAACCTATCTGAATAGATAG